CTTTTGAATTAAAACATATCACTCCCTTGAGATACCAAATAGTAGGTGAAAATTTCTGTGCACAAATTATCCAGTATTATTTGTTGCAGAGTCACTAGAGATAGAAGTTCATTCATTGGTTTTTTGGTTCCTTTTTGTTTATTACCCTACTTTTACACATTTTAGGTTCTATTAGGAGACAAAGGCCACCACTTGTCCTCCCTCAAGAAATAAAAATGGAGGGATTCTAAATCTAAGTCTAGATGAAGATCCAGATTGGGTCATGCCAGTATTGCTTAAGACATGTAGCCATTTATTTTGTGGGCAGTGTGAAAAACTATGGCATACCCACAAGATAAAAAAAAGATTGGTACATTAACTGGTAAAGAGGACATGAGGCAAAGATGGAATATTACAAAATTCTAGAGACAAAACTACAAATAAAACTTCAAGGAACAAATGAAAACAAACTAAGGAAATATATTCACGTAAGACCAGTTAAGCTTCTGGCATACAGTTCATTCATTCATTATTCATCAAGTAATTTGAGAACCTAAAAAGTGCTCAGTTCTGTGCCAGTTGATGTGGGTATACAAAGGCAATGTTGACTTTGTCCTTGCCCTCAAGAACATTAGTAAAAGATCTTAATCAACTGCCAGTGAAATTACGCACACATGATAATTACAGAACTAGAAAGCAACATGTAATACATTGCAAACAGTATAATATAGATCTTGGCAACACGTCAAACTAAAAAAAATGGAACTACATACATTAAGCAAAACCTTAAATGTGTGATTAAAATGTTTGAGAATTAAATCTGTGTTGTTAAATAAAATGTACGGAAGGTTGTTTGGGATTTAGCTTTTGCACTGGGCCCCAATACATGAAACCAAGCCCAAATGGAATCACTCATGCTAGGTGCTGTATAACCAAACTGAACTTTAAGACAGGACAGATATCCAAAAAATGAAGACTTATCTGATATAAATTGGCACAATTTACCACATGTAGACCCCTGAACCCAAAAAGATTCAGATGCAAGAAGCAATAGGGGAAAAATCAAACTGGAACACATTTAGGGAAGTCTAAACTGTAAGGCCACTAAACAGTCAGTGTTAATTGGTGAAATGGTAGAAATAAAATATCAGGGAACAAAAACATGCAAGTCACAGGTGACTAGAATTAAAATATTCCAAAGTCTTTGTGTTGTTTTGGAGGAAGATGAAGATTCCAATTAAATTTCAAACATGCACGTTAAAAATATGGTTAATTGCTAAAAGGCAAATCACATTATATTATAAAAATATAATGTATAATTTCCAAAAATGAAATATAAAGATATCATTGTTCAAAAGAAGACAGGAAAGAAGCGAATAGTAGATAGAAAGAAATAACATGGTAGAAATAAAACCAAATGCATCAATAGTTATATTTATATAACTGGACTAAGCTCTTCAGTTAAGACTGCCTCCAGACTGACATAAAAAACAAAATATACTTCTACACTGTTTAAGAGACACATTTAAAATATTACACAGAAAGACTAAAAGCAAAGGGGTGTAGAGTAATACTCTTGGTAAATATTAATGAAAAGAAAATTATAAAAATTGTAATTTCAAACAAGATAAACTTTAAAGGAAAAAACATAAGTAGGAGTAAAAGCAAACTCTTCAGTGAGATACTGACCTTTCTTGTCCCTAATAATGTAGCTTTAAAATAGGCAAAGTAAAAATTGACAATCCATAATCGCAGTGGGGGATTTTAACACATCATTTTCAGAGACAGATTAAACAGATAAAATATTCATAAGAGAACAGACTATTTCGGTAACATTCATAAAATGTACTATTTGAATGATTTGCAGGCTTGTTCTAACCTTGCACCTGACAATTAGCACACACAAAACACTATGCTCACACCAGGGCACAAGCAAGCCTCAACAAATAACAGAATCATTATCATATGAATCACATTTTCTGAACAAAAAGTCAGTCCCAAATCTACACTTTGGGAAATTTTAGAACCAATTTCTAATGTACAGTTCCTAATGGAGATCACAAAACGTCTGAAACTCAAAGACAACAAAAATTGCTAATCAAAACTGAAATGCAGTTAAAGGAACACTTAAATGGGAATTCAGACTTTCAGGAAAACATTAAAAAAGATGGTTAAAAATATTAATGAACTAGGAATCCACAAGAAGGGAGAAACTCGAGGAAATCTAAGTAAAATAGAAGGGAGAAAGCAAACAGTAGCAAAGATTGAAGCAAAAGGCTGATTCTTCAAAAAGACACAAAGTAGACAAATTTCCAGCATGAAACAAAAAAGAGAAAAACATTAGGAATGAAAAATGGTCCAAAAGCAGATGCCATTAAGATTTTCAAAATAAGACATTATGAGGATGATATCATAAACTTGAAAGCAGAAGAAATAGATAACGTTTTCTGGAAAATGTTAGGGCACAGAGGATAATTGCTGTGGTTGACTAGGACTAGTTACCAGGCAGAATGTTACAAAAAAAAAGGACTTTACAGATGGAAGTCATACCAAGAAAGGGAAACATGGGGAGAGATGAGAGATAGTCACAAGCAAATAGGATAGATATCAGTCCTAAGTGAAAAAGGTAGTCTGAAGCCAGACTTTAGTACAGAGGTTCCTTGCCCTGCCTGTACCTTAGAATCACCTGGGAGGCTTTGAAAAATCTCAATGGCCAGGAAAGTATAACCAATCAATCTCTGGGCTTAGCTATGATTATATTCTTAAATATCCATCGGACCTCAATTTTGTCCAGAGGCTTTTAACACTGACAAATATGTGCAAAGAGGAATAAAACCCTTGTTTTGTGTATTTTCTGCTATTTTAATCCTAATAAGTTCCTAAGACTACTGCAATATTTTTTTAAATGGCATGCTTCAATTTTTTTCTCCTCCCAGAGGAAATCTTTTTATATTTAGGAAAAGTAAACTACTTACATTAGAAGAAGCACACCAGAAATAAAAGGTAAAGATCTATCTAACATCACTCAAACACTGCTCTTGCTAAGAAGAAAGGCCTTTTGATATTTTGGGTTATCTGTGTCACTGCTGTAATCTCTCCTCAGAAGTATAGCTAATCAAGAGCTGACTTTATTTGGGAAGGGAAGTTATTGGCAGGAAGAAAATATCTGTAAGACACATATCCAAAAAACGACTTGTATCCAGAATATATAAAGAAGTCCTACAAATCAATAAAGACAGCTTTTATAACACACACACACACACACACACACACACAAAATAACTTGAACATCTTACAAGAGAATATCGAGATGACCATTAAAAAATGAAAAAGAGTCTTTAATATCACTAGTCACAAGGAAAAGACAAATTAAAACAAGATAACCACTACATACCCATAGGATGGCTAAAATAGAACAGACTGAGAATAGCAAGTGTTGGTGAGGATGTGAAACTGCTAGAATAGGTTTACATTGATGGCGGAAGTATAAATTGATATAATCACTTTGGAAAAATGTTAGGCAGTACCATTGAAAGCTAAATGTACCCTATTTACATTTACCCACATATGTTTATGGCCATCAAAAAGCATATCCCATAATGCACTGTAGCCCCATTCATAGTAGTCCAGACCTGAAAACATGCAAATACATAGCAGTAATAGGATGGGCAAACTGTGCTATATTTAGAGTGGAATTCTATTATGATAATGAAGTAAGCCTGTTTATGCTTACCATGTAACTCTTGTAGACAGAAGGCACATGAAGCAGTCCATACATATGATTCTATTTACTTGATCCAAGAACAGACAAAATGAATGTAGACAAATGGCTCTACAGGCAGGGGCTGTGGGGTCAGGGGATGTGGTTGCTGACTCAGAGGGGCAACAGGGAAACCTCAGGAGCGCTGAAGATGCTGTGTGTCTTACCTAGACTACTGTTACAACTGGTTTCTACATATGTAAAAATTCAAGCTGTACTCTTAACATCTTGTGCATCTTACCATATGTAGATGTTGTACTTCAAAAAGAAAAAAAAGTATTTAAATTTGTCTTTTAGATTTCATTTGAAAGAGAAATGTCCATTATACACAAGTCATTCAGAGTTGAAACATGAACACTTTACAGTTTAGAAGTAAAATCAATCTTGGCCCAAATGTTTCACATCAAAAGTATGTAATACAGAGATGTGAATTTAATTTAGAATGTATATAATAGATTTCTTACCAAAGTGTACCAATAAATGCATAGTTTTTAAAAAGGTGACATGGGTTGGGCTCAATTTAGGATTTTACAGAAAAACTTCATTCCAATATATAATAGAAATTTTAAAATGAAACACTGAAAATTTTGAGCTATATGTATTTCCATAGAAGGGCTCTCCATGTTCTTTTAAAATGCTGATCTTATGAAGAGGGAACATCTGAAGGTTTGGGCAGTGCCCTTGTAAGCCTTGTAGGGTCTACCCTGTGCAGAGTTTAGGTTCCTAAATGCATACAGTTAGAAAGCCATCACCACCTTAATTCCAGATTGTTCTACAGAGAAGAGGAAGCTTTTTAGATTCACTCATTTGGGAACAGATCAATTCATGCTTTTACTAGGTTTTCTTTGATGACTCATCAAGAAGGAAAAAATTGATTGCAGATAATGTATTATACGGCACCTATTGTTAAAATGCTCTTTAAATCAAGTGTAAGCATTCTGTACTTTAGCACAAATTAGGGCATTGGGACAACTGAATTGTTCTTTAGATTGCATTTTTCAATCCAATCCAGAGAAGAAAGAAGAGAAGAATAGATGCTCATTTCCTTTTTAAATGAAATCCAGACCTGAAAAAAACTCTGCTGAAATCTTCATATTTCTTTCATGGTTTTCAGAGGCCTGAAATAACATGAAGGCTGTATGTTTCTGAAGCCAACAATCTATCCTGTCCATGATAAATGACTCAAGTTTCTGAAATGTCTATAATACAAAAATCTCACCCTTCAGCTTTTTTGGTGGGGTGGGAACACATGTGGAAAGAGCTGTGCCCTTGTTTAAGGTGGGCTGCCTCCAATCTCCTGGATAAATTGTACAAATGAAAACAATAACCTCAAGTCAAATCTCAAAATGGAATGGGGAGTACGTGCTCAAAAAACGGTCACAAGAATCAAAGAAGAGAACCAAAACACAGCCATTTGTAATTGCTCTATTTATTAATACATATATCACAAATGTTCACAATATCAATGCATTCTTGTTGGCATGCTAGACAGAGGCATTCTTTTTAAAGGTCTTTTAAAAATATTTTGACTTTTGTTTCCCCTTCACACTCATTTTTAAATTGATCTGATTGAAGTCCTCAAAGTCTATAATGTCAATGCAAGAAAACAATACAGAAAGAAGTAAAGTAACACAATAGTAATTAATTGGGGAAAACCAAAAGTAGTATCATTGCCTTCACAGGAAGCAACAAGACAGCTGTGTAACAGGATTATACAGGTTTCAACTTAGAGGCAGAGGTGCACTAAATTGTCTCTACATACCCAGGTACAGAACAATAACGAGCAAGGAGGCCACCTAATGCTCAACAGTTTCCATCATGCATGACACATGCTTTTCTCTCCTCATGAACAATCACTGATGTGCCTCCTTACATGCCCTAAGCAACCTAAAGAAGGTAGAAAGGAGCCTTAGTAAAGGGAAAACCAAACCAAATGAGGTTAAGCCAAAAGAACAGGTAACTATCATCTGCTTATCTACGTAAAAGTGTGTGGTGTTTACAGACCACGGTGAAGGGCTGACAGAAGCCTCCCATACTACATGCAGGGCCCCAACGGGCCAGTGATGGTGTGATAACCCGTCACCTATGATGAGCTGCAGTTGGACCAAGTACATGTGGAGGAGCTGGCACCCACAGGGCCTTGGGGTGGGGTTCACTAAGACTAGCTACACTCTGTGGCACAACAGGGCTTCACAAGATGGACATTACACATGACGCAGGCTGAAAGGTGGAGCAGAGACTGGGCAGGAGTGTCAGTTGCACGCAGGGGTAGGGATGGGGGGCAGTGGGGAGTGGGATCAGGACAGGTGTATTATGCACTGTGCTCTAACATTCTTTGGAAGTCTTTCAGAGATTGCTGCAGTCCTTTTTAAAACAGGTCTCTTATTCCATCATTCTTGAAAGACTGGGAGAGAAAAAAACATGTGAATGACTCACCATTAATAAGGACTTAAAAAAAGGTAACAAAGGCTGGAGAGGCTGAGGCAAGAGGATTATGAGTTCAAGGTCGGCCTGGACTACCTTATTTGTCTCAAACAAACGAATAGGCAAACAAAAAAGATACCAAGCTGAAGAGAGAACATATCTACATGTTCACAACAGTACACATCACCTAGCACACCATCACAGATTTCTGTACAAGCACCACCAAGATCAGGTAGTAAAGTGCCCGGGGAGTCCTCCTGCCCATCTGAAGGGTAGTACAAGCCCCAAAGGGAAATCCCTGAAATTCAACACTCCCCATTGCCACTCACCTCCTTACACCATTTCATATTGATTGGCCGTGATGAACCGGGACAGACAGCAGGCCAGCAGCATGCCAATCAACTGTTGCCAGGGAGACAAAGGAAAAATGAGAATCTCAAGTCACGGAACTATACTTTCCTTTACCCCTAGGTGTAACTTTTTAATTTAAATTTCTATTTGTAATTGATACATAAAACTTGCATTTATCTATAGGTCTGAGGTGACATTTTGATATATATATATATGATATATATCATATATAAATATGATATATATCATATATAAATATGATATATATCATATATATATATCCCTAGTTATAATTTTTTAGCAAACCAGAGCCCTAGAGATAAAACACAAACCCGATTTCAACTGGGATCTAAGTTGGAGGAAGTCTTCCTGCTGGTGCAGGGACAACTGGAGATTCTGGAATTGCCCATAAGGTTTCAGCTGTAGCTCACTCTTGCCACTTCAGAACAACTTCTGATACCAAATTGCATTAAAATGTGTTCATTTGCCAGGCGCCAGTGGCTCACGCCTGTAATCCTAGCTACTCAGGAGGCAGAGATCAGGAGGACCACAGTTCAAAGCCAGCACAGGCAAATAGTTTGTGAGGCCCTACCTCAAAAACACCCATCACAAAAAAGGGCTGGTGGAGTGGCTCAAGGTGTAGGCCCTGAGCTCAAACCCCAGTACTGCAAAAAAAAAAAAAAAAAAA